TATTAATATGATAATTGTTTATTCATCAATATTTTTATTTTTTATAATATGTTATAATTTTGACTATAGTTTTATATGTATGACGTTTAGTTATAAATAAATAAATTCATATTATTTTTAAATTATTGTAAAATATATTTTGTAGTTAAAGAATCAATATAATCAATAAGTTTTTTTTTGTTTGTACATTTTTGAACTTCAGTTTTAATAGTCGTAAAAACATTTAAATTTTTAAAGACAGATTGTAAATAATTATTATTTTCATCTGTAAGTGTTTTTGTTAATTCAACAATAATTTCACAAACTCTGTTAGTTTCAGCTTCTGATAATAAATCTTGTTCAGATAATGCAAAATATCGAACAATATTATTACCATAAATATAATTATTAATATTACGTTGAATCAAAGTAATCAATGATTTTGTGTGAATATCCATTTTTTTTAAGTCATGTTTATTTTCTAGCAAATATATATATTAAATTAAATTTGGTATACACCAATCAAATTATATTTCTTTATCAATTCCAAATTAGGAATTTAATTTAAAATTTATTAAATAGTTTTTCCGAAATAAATATTTAAACATTCTTAATTTGATTAGTAATATTAAAAAAAATAAAATTGATTCGATCAAATTGCACATCCGCTTGTAAATTTTGTCAAATAAAAAAAGTCAAATGTGATGATAAAAAACCTTATACACAATGTCATAAACGTAATTTAGTTTGTGAGGCCTCAGAAAAAATAAAAAAACGAGGTCCATTATCAAAAACTAGTGATAAATTAAAACTAAAATATATTTTAATTTAAATTTATTAAACTTTATAACCATTTCGATTTCCAGTTTTTTGATCATGTTCTAGTTTAAAATTTATAGCTAGTTGTTTTGCTTGTTCACTAGTGCTATTTTTTGTAATAAAAAATTTTTTTGTTTTATGTTTATTATTTTCTTCCTATTGAAAATTCCAAGCTTTTTCATATTTATCAAACACAATTCCATTATAACCCGATGTATTTGTATTTCATAATTTTTGATTTAAAGCATTTTTTTTATTAGTAGTTTCTCGAAGATTACATTTACGATTATCTGTTCCAAGTCTATTGATATGATCGATCATTTTCCATTCTGGATAAATCATTCGATGAAATTTTAAAGATTTACGAATATTTTTTTCTTTAATATTTGTTTTAATATAAAAAATATTTTTTTCTTTATGACAATACCAAGTATAATTTTTAATTAAATTGAAATTATCGAGATCGGTTAAGAATGTGATTTCTTCTTTCTGAGTTAATATTTTATTGAATAATGTAGCATTAATTTCAATTAATCGATAACTATTAGATTTATATCGAAGTTTGATAATTGGTAATTCGATCCAAGCTGATAATACTTCAAATGAATTGAATATTTTCTTCCAAGGCGATTTTTCAGTTTCTTCTTCAAGTGAATACATTTTTTAAACTTTCAATTATGGAATTTTTGTTATAATTTATATATTTTTTAAGTCAAATTTAAAAAAAATTTTTACTAAATTTAATAGCAATATTATTTAGATTTTAAAAATTGTTTTATTTAAAATATTTAAATAATATAAAAATATTTATTTTTATTAAATAAAATACATATAAGAATAAA